TATGACTTTCACACCAAAGCAAGACCCTATTTTTATATATAAACTCTAAATCCTAAACCTTGACATTGGTATAGGCCCATAGGCCATCATCAAGCCTAGAGCAACAACAACAACCACCACCACCACCACCACCACCACCACAACAACAACAACAACAACAACAACAACAACAACAACAACAATAATAATAATAATAATAATAATAATAATAATAATAATACTCTAAAGCCTCTTCACCAATTGATGTGGTTTAGTTTGTAGGGTCTCTAGCTCGTTGTTGCTAAGACTCAAGATCAAATTCCATTGCCACCATGTTATGGGGTTATGGATATTGCAGATGTAATGAGATATCCCTTGTTGTGTAGACCACACAAAAAAAAAAAGAAAAAAACAAAAGCAAAAAGAAAAAACTCTCTAAACTCTAAAATAAATGTGTAAAATGTATTTTTCATTGGAAAGTGTGTTGACTCTATGTGTTTTGATGATAACAAACTCATTTAGAGTACTAACAATTTGAACAAAAGTGTACAATTGCATCAAATACTTCTTCAGTTGAACTTTAAGGATTTGATGAAATCATTGAGGATATAAGAGGAGTAATTGCATCAAATAATGAATTGAACACTCTCTAAGCAAGAAATCATGCTACCATATAGAAAAAGAAGAAGGAAAAGATATCAAGCAACTAGATTACTTGTGCTTAAATTTCTTGAGTAAGAGAAGTCAAGATATCAGTGAATGTTAAAAAGCCCATTGAACTCAAGCATTCATTGTGTTATCTTGCATACTGGATTACTTGTGATTACAATGTTATATCAACTTAGTGACAAACATTGCATTACTTAGGTGGTGCAAGCAGTCTTCTCTCGGTCCTTAGGGTCCATCAAAATTTGGTTGTAGCCCGAGTAGGCATCCATAAAACTGAGTAGTTCATATCCAGAGGTTGCGTCCACCAGGCGATCTATGTTAGGCAGGGGGAAGCTATCTTTTGGGTAGACTCGATTTAGGTTTATAAAATCTATACACATCTGCCACTTGCTATTTGTTTTCTATATAAGAATAAGGTTTGCCACTTAGCTCGGGTATTGGACTTCCTCTATGAAGTCCGCTGCTAACAGCTTCCCCACTTCCTCGTTCACTATGTTCCACCTTTCCGGGGCAAGGTTTCTCTTCCTCTGCCGGACTAGTCTAACTATAGGGTCCACATTAAGCTTATGAGTTATTAAATTGGGGTCTATACCAGTCATTTCAGTGGTTG